GGTATACATAGTAGCACTCGTGTCTAAAGTAGTTGAGTCAACAAACTTGCCTCTACAATAATAAACGATTATTCATTTACTTGGAAGGTTTCCACGCGAATATTATCTTTACCATTGATTTCATCTTACTATGTATCGGATTGTGTGGAATGTCCGTGTCGATTTTTAGTAGACGTTACAGGTCTGAATATATCGGAATGGTTGAAAATAAATAACATGTGGACATCCCTTAGAAGGTGGAAAAATTGTGGAACAAAATGTTACATATATAATTCAATAAATACATATATCGAAGTTCAAACGTTTCTTTGAATGTTTCTTAAAAATTGGCACGATACTTTCTCGACAACCCAATACAATTGAGTACAATTTCTACCTTCCAGGTATGGCGGTCAATGTGTCGAGAGAATTAATTTCGTTCGTTGCGTGTTCGTTACCCGTCGGTGGATGTTTTTTATCTAGACAAAAGTTTTGTCCATATATGGTTGGACGTATGACGTTCGAGGGGGCACCGTAAAGTTTTATCTTCGTTTGATAGGCGCTCGTGGCTCATTATTCCGGGTGCGTATGCAACGAAACCAGGCCAACGGGCGACCGACAAGTACGCGTCGTGTGCAGGTGGATGCTGTCTAGAAGGGGGAGAGGGTCCGACGTAAATTGTTATCGGCAAAATGTCAAGTCCAATCAGTCGCTGCGAGGTATTCGAACGAATCGACGTGTTGTAGATTTTTCGCGTCGTTGGGCGGCATGTGTTGAGAGTTCGTTGCACGACGTTCGAGCTCGTTTCCCATCGACTGGGAGCGTTTCGGAATATCTCGAATATCCCGTATTCGATACATACGGGTGACCTGCCGATCAACGCGATAAAATTAATTAGGTACACGGTCATTGCGATTCCCATAAGATGCATCGACTAGTTCGGAGTGGAACGGGGAATCGAGACGAGTTCATAGGGCGTGCACTCTAATCGATCTCGTTCCACTATTAATTAACTGTTCGCGATTTTGCCGCACCTTGAAACTATAGTAATTAATTAATTTCTTATGTATCGCTAAATATTTCCCTAGACTGCTTGTGGCATTCTAATGGGGACGCCTGTCTGGCTGTACCTGCCAGGGTGGTAGAAATACACATCGTGACAGAGCAACCCGACCAAAAATAATGGTCGGCTAACTTTGTGTAACCTAGACTGGCCTCCGAGAGCAAACCTACTCCATGTCCGCTTTTCTTAGAAACGATACTTTTGTCTGCTGAGCGCCTCTTCAACAATGCTGAGACATTTTCTCGCACACGCGATGGAGTCGACTAATACCGTTTCCAAGAAGAATTTAACAAATCTTGTACGATATAAAAATATCAAGAGTTGTCGTCGATAGAGTTTATCGAGTCATAAATTCTTAAAAATGTTCAATATGCACGTTACTAGAGGGGTATATTAAATTTTAATAAAAGAAGAAGTTTTATATTTTAAAAGGAGCATGGAAGTTGTCAGGTTTTCAGTCTGATGCAATGTCTTTAATGGTTAATTACGCAGAATTAGTGCATTCGTATTTAATTAGGTTTAGGAGGGACGATTTTGTTCACTTTACATCATTGTACGACGGATGAGTAAACAAGCTTGTTAAATCTCGAATCGATAGAGGAATCGCCGTAACAAGGAAAAATAAATTCACTTGTTACACGTACGTTTCATGCTTATGTAAGTACGGTAAGGATTACGGAACTGTATCGGGCACGTTACGAAAGCTCTCGCGATGTCCATACACCTAACATGTGATTCCGTTAAATCTTTTCGAGATCGGTTCAGAGAGTGTTTTGATCGGTACTACGACGTCAATTTTCACGCAACGTGGTTTAATTTTAAGTAACATTCTGTTAGAATTGAATCAGAAATAAATTCTATTTTATTCTGTACAATTATTACGAATCCATAAAGGGGTAGTAAGCAAAAGTAGAAGATTGCAATGATTGAAATCATGTATATCAAGTAAATACATAAATATAGGAAGAGCTAAGTACTTATTACTTTATTTACTTCACAGTATCAGTTTCTGTACTGTACTTTACGGTACAGTTTCATTTTATTTCTTTCCGCGTGATCTTTCATCGTTGCAGTTGAGTTTAATTTTGAACTGCCTTTCACAAAACTGCGGGGAGGGGCGTTTTATTCGCGCCTTTGTCCGTTCCTTTCATACTTCCGTGCACTTCAAAGAAATGTATTTTTACATCCGTTCCGTTGACATCGATGAGTGCATACGTACCGAAGGAGTCCGGTGAACAAGGTTCGCTGTGTCGTCTGTGACGTCCATCGTACATACGTAGCCCTGACGTAAATGTGTTGTAGAGCGTGGCTTGCAAAAGAAACCGGAACTAGCGTGACGCGAGTGTGTCCGTCAAACGATTTGCGCGATAAGCACATTCGGAGTGATATCTCTTAGAAAGTTTCAAACTCAATTATTCAATTATCCATAAACTGATCACGTATGCACGTGTGTATATCATTCTTTTAGAGAATTTATACATTTATTTACGACCAGGAAGTTTATAAATTTAAACTGCAAAATGGGGGTTGGATATTTATAAAAATTGTACGTTGATATAGCATTATTTATCTATAAAATTTCCAGAGTGTACGCGTCGCTCGAATGTATTTTTCAAACTACATTCCGCCCATCCTTGGCTATCGGTAACCCTTCTCGCCTTCGATGCTATCATTTTTTTTAAGGCGAATCTCACGGGGAATATCTAGTTCCGATAGTTTACAGTTACTCAGTTACTTTTACGAGAACGTTGCAAAACCATAATTTCATGGAGTGTATCTCTTACATTGATCTCATGATCGCCCGCTCTCACTGTACGCGTTCTGCACGGTGCTTCCTTTGGAAACGGATCACCTCCGTATCTCTTGCGTTTCGTGTACATCGAGGAATATGGACTACTAACCGATACAAGTTTTCTATCGTTCGGAAGAGTTTCATATTCCCGTTTATCTTCAATAATTGTCTACTATCGTTACATTTTCCAGCGAATATTACTAACGTAATATTCATACGTTCAGTATTTCAGCCGAACCTCAAAGAGTTACATAGCTCGTATAATTGTATTAAATAAAAAAACAGCTCGCTCAATTCTCATTTCACATTGTGTTTTAAATAACCAATAAACATTTGCCACGTATTTGTAATCGTTAGACGAAAAATCACACAGGATACTAATCTTTCAGGCAGCTTGCGAAACGCTGCACCGCAACGTGGAACGATCGAGAACGAATTTCGCGTGTCGGTTAGAGAATAGTCGACTTCTAATCGTAAATTGCAATCGGTACCTGACCACCTTCCATCGACTCGTTCCAATCTACCGATATCCTCTGCCGATCTCGCGCCCGTGGATCGATGGATCCGTTTAATTATTACTTGTTTGCGCTAAAAATAATTCGCGACCCTCTTTCACGGACGGACAAACACGCGTTGCACCGGAAAAGCTTTCGAACGGGATCGATCGATCCCCAAACACCGCATTCGGCCTCCCGGAAGAGAGAACCGGCACCGGAAACGGTACTCGTTTACCCTTATACGCGACGACAGCGCCGCTCGTCAACAAGCGGAAAAGTGAGAGTGACGCGACTACCTTGAGCCTGATTCCGCGTCCAGTGGGCGTGAAAATTTATTTTCTATATATGGCGTACAATCGCTTCGTTGTTTCTTACATCTTTCAAAAAAGTAAGAACTACTCGATAACAAAAATTTGAATCTTCGCCAGCTGAACTGCTCATGTTTCGATAATACATTGGAATTTTGTCAACATTTTTAGTAAAATGATACATTAGTTGTGACGTACAAGAAATTTATTAATTTAATTCTACTGTATGGAGTAATATTTTTTCTTTATCGAGGGAGTTCGTGGAAAGGGGATGTTTGAGAAACACTGACTTACAGAATTCGATGTTCGCGCGTCTGCAAGCACGTGTACGTTGTTATTGCTATCACGGCGCGAATTGTTGCACTCGGGAGTCGTGACGAGCTTGCGATTCATTCGACTGGTTCCATACAAGGTGTATAGAAATGGCGGGAATAGATTCAATATGCGTTCGCAGTCGTTAGAATATTAGTCAGCGACACGAGAATATATTCAGTAGTTTTTATCCTATTTTTATAAGCTGAATAATTCCAGAATAATGTCATGATTTGTTTGTGAAAAATGTTTGTAGAAACTTACATTATCATTCCTTTTTTTTTTTTTTTACCCTCTATGTTGTGTAAGTATCTGGATATTATTAGATACTTGTAGGTGCTGGTATCCTATTTATAAGACTCGTCGTAACTTTACAAGTTTGTTTTGATGAAAAAAAAAAAAGTTATATTTCCTGTTTGATAAAGACGTTCCCGTACAACGCGTAGAAAAGAAATATTATTCTTTGAAGCAACGTTGATTTGGCACAGTGTTAATTATAAACCGAAAATTAAATCTTGGGCTATTTACAGGGGTTTCAAGGTCATTGTTAATTTTTTTTTTCTTTTTTTTTTCCTAAATCATGTTTCTATTTTTTTACATTCTCGTAGGCGATAATAGGTAGAAATATTCAGTGATCTGCGAGAGTGCGCCTCTCCCGATCGTTTTATCGTGCAAGATATTCGGAACTTACGACCTTTAACATTAAGGAGATCAAAATAGATAATAAAAAAAAAATGTTCATAAATAAACGCTACACGCACAAGCTTACGCTAGGAGAGATAGAATACAAAATTCGAGAAACACTCTGAATTAACTATAACCGATTGTAGTGTACCGTAAGTCAATAATCGCGTTCGGAGACTTTGCAGAGTCAATACCAGTCCTTGCACTTTCTCGTCCAATGTAACGTATAGAGGCCTCCTCGTGTGTCAAGGCTGTCGAAAAGATTCCTCTGCGAACGGGGGGCCCCCCTCTACCAGCGCAACGCGAGTTGAAGCGCTTTCCAACTACACCAGTTTCACTAACTATGGCTCTTTCCCTCGTTTCAGGGACCCGAGATGCATCGGAGGGTGGGATACAACTACGATGGCAAGATCGCCGGCCTCTACGACCTGGAGGAGACACTCGGTCGCGGTCACTTCGCCGTCGTCAAGCTAGCACGTCATGTTTTCACTGGCGAGAAGGTCGCAGTGAAGGTCATCGACAAGAGCAAACTCGACGAGGTCTCGAGATCTCACCTCTTCCAAGAGGTAAGAGAGTGCGAAGGGTCTAGACCAGTGCTTTCCATTCCGTTTCTCAAGTTTTATTTTCTAATAACCTTCTTCGAGAACCTTATTAAATCCAAACGAACTAAAATGTACGAAAGAAATAATATAAATTCGTTGTGATAAACACTTATATTCTGGACTCTGTAATAACGAACGTCTAACGAATTTCCTGAGGAAATGAGACAAGTATGCCTTCACAGTTAAATTATATAATTTTCTATACTTTTCTTTCGGCTACCACCAATTTCGAAACCATTGGTCTAGTTTTTCATTGTTGAGATCAGAAAAGCTGATGGTGCCTGTTCGATGGCCATGTATGTGCTTCCCTTTTGTTCCTTTCCCCTCTACATTCGTCTGAATGAGAATGTTGCGCATAAAGGAGACCGGCGAAGGAAATCGAAACACATGCTAATTCCTTCCTTCCGTTTGCTTGGCCGACAAAGCACGACGGGAGTTTTGTTTATAAGTTTCGAGGCTGTTGCGTGCCATGAAATCCACCGTATCTCAAATATCGATTGGCTCGTTGGTTTAACAATAATCTGAACCCAAACATGCGTACTATTGTTATTATTTTTGAGAGAGCATAATTGTTGAAAATCATCTATTGGGGAAAGAATAGAAATATGAAGGAATAAATATAGAGGGATAAGTATGGAAGATATCGTGAAAAATATTTTCTTATATCACCTAGCATACTTACACGTTGCGAGAGTATCGTATGTTTTTCTAACTCTAACTTTTCCATGGACGTGTTATTAAATCGACTCACTTCGTCATTCCCAAGGAGTCACAAACAAATATTTCATTCGGTCTATTGACCATTATTTCTAAGAGGTTTCGCTACATCCTAGCGTCTATTGAGTTCAATATCTCTGTTAAGTAAGTTTCATATCAAACGACGCGACGATCTAGCTCTCCAACATACCAGAAAAATATCTTCTTCTTCCAACCCTACAATTGTTCTCAGACCTTCTAGACTCTAGAAACCCGAGTCATCTCTGCAAATCTAGCCAGATTCTATTCCATCGAAAGGTCATCTCACTCAGAGAACAAAACCTTCTAATCGCAAGATGACTCCTAACCGTGATTAAGGATCCAATCGACGAACACTTGCGTCGATGGAGGAGAGTCTGATAGCTTGAACGGCTTCCTACGTACGTGATTTCCATCATTTCGCGACACACGACGTTGAAACCTAATGGCCGATTGCGCAAGATCCGTTGCGACGCCATCGCGTAGGACAGATCTACGAACGATCCGCTTCGAACTTGTAGATCTCTCGTTAAGGTCAACGAGATAATGGCGCGAGGGGTGTAGGAGGAGGAGGGGAGGGAGCAGAGAAGGAGAGAAAGGGTCATTGACCAGGCAACGTTAAACGTCGCCCGTATCTTACATCTTTGTTTCTCCTTCCAGGTGAGATGCATGAAGCTGGTGCAACATCCCAACGTGGTAAGGCTCTACGAGGTGATAGACACCCAAACGAAGCTCTACCTAATCCTGGAGCTTGGCGATGGCGGTGATCTGTACGATTACATCATGCGACACGACAGTGGCCTCAGCGAGGAGGTACAGTACCGTAGTACTTCGTCTCAGCTCGTAACGATCTTCGTCTACCCTAAGGAGTTTAGGGAAGTCTTGGGTTTGCTACTGGGTTTCTAGCGGATTTTACTACACACGCTAACGATAACTCGTCTAAAAAGACCTAAAAGTCTTAACAAGTATCGCAAAACACGCGTAGCTTTTGTCATTCGTATTGTGTGTCTCTTATCTAAAATTATTTAGACCCGTAATCCCTCGATTACCTCTAGCGATTATACTGTCTGTTTCAGGCTTTATTGGCTATCTCACCCAAACTATTTAAAGTAGGTGTATGTAGCGATAATAACTTTTCCTATATATTAACCAGAGTTCGAACGCGTAGTTACGTCAGCGACGATGTCAGAAAGCGATAGAGCGCGTTTTTGATTGATAAGAACAACGAACGCGATATCTGATTTTTATAGCGTAATGGATCCGCTAGTAAACCCGGCAGTGACTCCATCGGTTTGCTCAGCGTCGTGTATCGATGCTATATCGCCCTCGACTCCTTCCCCTTTTGTCCGAGATTGTATGAAACCCTTCAGACAGGCAACCCTTCGCCCAGAGGTTCATCGATACCCTTTTAATCGACCGCAGGTGGCCAGAACGTACTTCCGGCAAATAGTCAGGGCCATATCATATTGCCATCGATTACACGTGGTGCACAGGGACCTGAAACCCGAGAACGTGGTGTTCTTCGAAAAAGTCGGCACCGTCAAGCTCACCGACTTCGGATTTAGCAATAGATTCTGCCCTGGCCAGAAGCTCGAGACTTCCTGCGGGTCGCTGGCGTATTCAGCGCCGGAGATTCTGCTAGGAGATAGCTACGATGCTCCTGCTGTCGGTGAGTATGCCTACGAGACAAGTTTGGACGGAGGGTGATCGATAGTAGCTTCAGGAATCGTCATTTTACTTGGCTTTGACGCTTCTTTTATCAAATCTACTCGATCGAATCTTTTGTCGATGAAGCGGAGAAAAGAAGAATGTCATTTGATAGGTTTACTCGAAAACTTTGCAAAACTTTGCTTTTCATGTTTAATTGCTGTTGAACATGGAGCCAAGTGCCAAGAAGTTGCCAAAAGCTATTAGCTTGATTCCATTGTGTAATTACGATTCTTTTGCGTCGACTTCGTCGTCTGCACTCTCACGAAGTTAATTTTATTACCTCGACTACAAACATTCAGCCTCGTCCATTAGCTACGTCTATTTTACAATATCCACACCATTTTGTTTGGGGTGTTTTAGATGTCTGGTCCTTGGGGGTAATTTTGTACATGCTAGTATGCGGCCAAGCGCCTTTCCAAGAGGCAAACGACAGCGAGACCCTGACGATGATCATGGATTGCAAGTACTCGATACCACCTCACGTTTCGGATGGCTGTAAACGTCTGATCGCGAAAATGCTCGTCAGAGAACCAGAGGGCAGAGCAACGCTCGAAGAAATAGCAGCCGATCCTTGGCTGGCGATTGGAACCGACTCCGATCCCGTGGAAGCGTCGTTGCCTCTCGTGTCCAGGCAACAAGTCTCCGATGACCACCACAATCATATAATTACTAAGATGGTTAACGGTAACATCGCCACCAAAGAAGAAATATTGGAGTGAGTAGACGCTGCGGGACAGCAATTCCTACAGATCTCCTTCATTCCTATCGCACGAAGCATAGCACATTCCAAAGAATCGAGGTACATCAGTGCTTGGATGTTGGAAATGCAAGGCACTGAATTTTGCTTCTGTACATCTAAAATTCTGAGATCCCAGATTCTCCTACTATCGTCTCAACTACTATATCCCATAACTCAGCAATCGTTCCTCGATTGCACTGTGCGATGGTAACCTGTTCGTTCAATTTGCTCGTAGCGCCCTCGACAAGAATGAGTACAATCACATAACGGCAACGTATTTCTTACTAGCCGAAAGGAAATTGCGGGCTCACCGTCAAGAGCAGGTGCAGAAGACTCGTCCAGAGATACTCGAGGTCTCGTCCAGGTATGCGTAGCGCTAGTAAACTCTTCCAGAGGCGAGAACCGTGGGGTACCTACCAGTAACCGTCTGTTATTTTCAGCCGACAAGACGACGCGAGAATGAATCTGCGCGCCGACCAAAATTTATTAAGCGCGGTCAATCAATCGTTGTTGAGCGTACCGCGAACGCCGGGTGAGGTGCCACAAGTAAGTATTCGAGAATTGCTCTCGCAACCGACAATCTTCGCTTTCCAATGAAACATCGGTGATTAGCAAATACACGAAAGCAATTTTTATGTGAGCGAGATAAAAACACTGTTCTCTTCGTAGAACATCCGGACGCGGAAGTGCAGCATCGTTCAAGAGGAGGAGGACGAGGACGACGTGTCCTCGTGTTCGGGTCGAGACGATCGTGGTAGCAACTCCGCACTCAACTCGTTAAATCGACGCGGTTCTCGCTCCGAAGGCAAGCTTTCGCACATCCTGCAAGACAGGTTAGCGGAGAAACCGAACCTCAAGCCTCTGCAATCACAGCGAAAGGATGGCGGTATCGTTCCTGTAATCGCCGACGCGGAAGAGAGACTGAAGTCTAGTCCGAATAGCGGAAACGCGAAGGATTCCACGTGTCAGGAGAATCTGAAAAATCGTTTGGGGGACGCGTCGCAGGGTTGGGCGAGGAAGCAGACCACTACGGAGAACAGGCCAAAGTCTGTGACGGAGTGTTTGAAATCGGTTGGTCCTGTGCCACCCAACAAGTGGAGAATGGGGGCGCAGCATCGATCACCCGCTGCGTCTTTGGACTCCACTTTGACGATACCTGCGTCAAAACAGTCCGACCCTAACACGACTACCACTATCCTAACGGAATCCTCAACGGTGTCGATTCCTCTTCACCCTGTGGGCTCGCTGGGCGACAATCAGCTGACGCCCAAATATAAGACTATGCCGTCGCCTGGTAGCACGGGCTCGGCATCGTCGCCACAGCTGACGTTGAACGAGATCCTGGAGGACGGCGACACGATACCTGTACTTCCCGCGGAAAGTGATAGCTCGAAATGTCGCGTTGTGAGACGGACAGGATACGAACAGCGGAGGAGTAAGTTCCATAAGACGCGCACGACTTCCTGCTCGAGCTCCGACGCCAGTGACGATGACAGCGAGAGCAGGAAAAAGAGGGCACACAAAATAGGCGCTTCCACGGGGAAACCACTGCCCTCCAGGCGCGACAGTCACGACGATTCCAGCGATTCGCAGGATCCTGGAGGGAGTGGCGGGGGTGGTGGTGGTGGTGGGGGAGGAGTGGGGAATGGGGAACACACGACGGACACACCATCGAACGAAACGAATCGAAACGATAGCGGAAGCGGTACCAACACGACGACCACAACTACAACGACGACCGGCGGAAGGCATCGGTGCGCCGAGAATCAGGTTATTTTCGGTAGAAGGCATCGCGCAGGAAGAAGAAGAGCCGGTGAGACGCGATTACGGGAAAGTCAATCTTTGAATCGCATAACCGAGGTGCAGGAGGCCGAGGGACCCTCGTCGTGTCACAATCATTGTCACATGTCGCGCAATTCGACCGTTCTCGGGGTGCAGAGCATGTCCTCGTCGTCGTCGTCGTCCGTGTCGCAAAGCAGCACGGGTTCCCACAACGTCGCTCAGCCGTTGTCTCAGGCAGCTACCACGGTGCAGAAGGCGAAGGGTTTCGGTGCCAGGCTTTTGCAGAGCTGGTCCCTCAGCACTGGCAAGTCCTCCCTGTCGCAATCGACAAACAGGCAGAACAACTGCAGCCCCAACGGCAAATGCAACAAGCAGGAGACCCAACGCGACGGGTGCAAGAGAATCGAGATCTGCCGAGACGACCAGCGCAAAGATCAGAACGGTAGTTCGGTCAATCAGATGCCGTCCAACGACAAGGAGAATAGAAACGACGGTAACATGCATCGAAACGACTGCAAGAACCGAAAGTTACGATTGCTCAGTCGTTACTTTGCCGTGCACAAGAAGCTTTGCGTCCCGTTGCCAGGTCTGTTCGGCAAGGGACGCCTCTACAAGGCTCGATCCTGCGGCAGCATCGCCCGCGATCGCGTCAGCCCACCGTCGCCCAAGTCCATGCTTTTCTGCACCACGGCGGATGACAAATGGCGGGAACGCGGACAGTGGTGCGATATGAAGCACCAGCATCGCGGCAGCGACGGTGACATCAACCAGAACTTGGGTCTGTCTCACCTGATGCAGGAGACCGTGGTAGGAAAGGGTTGCAGTGCCTTGCCTACCGTCTGCCACATTCACCTAGGCGATGCCTCCAAGTGTTGCAGTCTCTGTTGATGAAGCAACCACGCGACCAGATCGATGCGCAAACGCTAAAAGATATATATATATAGATATACATACATATATACGTACCGGGTGTCGTATTTTGATCTGTACGCGCAGCTGTTTCCCCGGACTGTTCGTTACTCGAATAAGTGCTTTAGATAGGAGTTACTCTGGCTCGAGGATCACGTCTTACGGTGGATACAAGTGTTGTTTAGGCGAAAGAGCCTTTGAAACTTCATGGCGAAATTTATTTTTTATTATTAGGAGTGCATAGTTTCGTTTAGGTTAAAGTTGTTTTTTGTTGAATTGTTAGGAAATGTGTTCATCATGTGCATTCGAAAGGGTGATTGGGTTATCCTGATAAATAGTTCTACTTCCTTCAATGGTGAGACGATGTCCAAGGTCCTCTTTTTTTTTATAATACAGAAGATACACAATATTTTCTGAACACTTAGCGAAGGAAGAGAATTTTGACTGCCCTTGAACGGCCTTGAAAGATACACATATCATAATCAATAGATTCGTCTCGAAATGCGCAACAGGCCTACCCCATAGAAATTATATACTTCCGTTTCAAATGATTCGGTCACTTTGAAATCTCAGATCCCTACCTTGAGAAAACTTGCGTCCATCGGATGTTCTGTCGAAACAGATTTCTATTTGGAACATTACATTCGAAGTAACGAATGGTTCGTGGAGGTAATTTCACGGGTAGGTCGGAATGGGGTGCTGCCCTCTATATATACACCGTACATACGTCACGTTCCGACCATCAGCCGACACGCTCGCGCAGCCCGAGACCTTTTCCGCAATGGCTAACGATTACTGCCGACAGTAAAGCGAGAAACGGCGGAGAGAGACACGTGGTTATCACGAAGTGCAATCTATTTTATAATAACACCGACCGTTACCGCGTAGAGTCGAGACACGCGACGTTTCAACTCGATCGAACAAGTCCGCAATTCCAGCAGGTCAGAGAAGCGATTACTTTGATAATAACCTGTCAGATTTGCCCAGGCATTACCGAAATAGTTTCGCTAAATGTACCTAAATTATGTATCAACTATATACGTACGCCGAAACCTTTTGTAACGAAAGAATAGACTTGTCCTGCATGCGCAAAGGTCTGTCGGCCCCATCCAGTTTGCGTGAACGATATATCGAATCTGCTGTTACAAGAATCTCGAACCGTTCTCTTCAGAGGACGATGGTAACGTCTGGGCTGATCAGCGATCGTACAAGCTGTCATTTGTAATCTGCAATCGTGAATCGGTAATCTGAGCTAATTTTTGATTATCGATCGATTGTCAACGATCGAGTAATCGGTAATCGCGATCATTAGATTACGATTAGCCTGGCACCGATACGCGACCCCCGTTCGACGGAGTTGAACGCGCGACGACGGATCTCTTGAAACGCGATTGTGGTAATCGTTAACCGCGACCCCAGTGATTACGCGGCATACGTCAATGGTCAATGTATTCGAACCGATTCATGCCAATCCTCCTCCCCACCCTCTCCCGCGTCCTCGCGCCTTGAATGATGTCGACGAGCACAAGGGTCGAGTCAAAAAGGAGAGCGTATCGATTGATCGGTCGCTCTGCGGGATGTGCATCTAGTCCGTGTGAACAAACCTATATTGAATATTGCAGAGTTTATTATTATTAATATTGTTGCGCCGGGGGGTGGTGGTACATCGAGGAGTAGTCATTTTAAATAATTTAACACGTCTTTTATAAAAGGAACAAGAACTCGAAACGTTTATTAACTATAACAATAACTCAAGGTAAACACGTCTATTCGATAGCAAGTCTGGCGACGTTCTCCTCATTAAAAAGTTGCCGGTTCTATTGGTAACCGGAACATCGGGTTCCAATACAATCCGATGCGCGGTGTCCCTCTCTATAACATATTCTACCCCTTCAAAAGTTACTTTATACGAAGTCCCTGTTAGTCTTTGTTCCAATGTACCGCCCGTTTGGTTGTGTCGCTGCCTTAGGACCATGTAGGAAGTGAACAATATGTTATGGACTTGGTCTCCGATAGAAATATTCTTATCCTTATCCCCTAACCCGATGGAGACTAACAAAGTTTTGTGTGGTTCTGTTATAAATTTTATCACCGCTTCTTTTTTACGTGTTTCTTGAGACACCTGCGGTTTCTTTGTCCTCGACATCCATCGTCGTATCCGAGGCAGAGCCTGTTATGCTGGTTGAGGCGGGCGTTGACATGTTGGCTTTCTTATTATATTATTCTCAAAAAAGGTCCCACTTCTGACACCAATGTTATTATTACTACTATTGATTAAGATTACTATTATTATTATTATTATGTTAAACATACGACGTAGATATATATCAATGTGAATCGAGCGTAGAGTCGCTAACGCAACCAAATCATTCAGCGTTCGCGAACATTGAAGTATCTCGCAACCTTGGACGGTCTTCCTCTCGTTGTTCCCCTTTATTTATCTGTCTCTGCCACATCCCAACCCCTCCCCTCCGTCGTCTACCCAGATTGCGATTAACGTACTATTTTCCTACGTAGCGACGCCCTCGTAGAATGTTCGTGGCTCGCACTCTGGCTCGATCGAGATGCGCAACGGACCTCGCGCGATTCCTTTAACGATACACGAGCGACATCGAATTTATATTAACGCCGATTAGTTTAGCGTGCGTATACGCGTATCATCTCGATGGGAAGAAACGTCAGTGGTGCTACAGAAGAACCGACGAGACGAGGAGGAAGAAGGAATGGCGTCGACGCGTCTAGTACCTGTTGGAGAATCGTTGAGTTTTCTGGGAGAATGTCGCTGGAATTCTGGAACACTGTGTGACCTTGGGCACGACTGAACTTGGATACTTGAAGGAAGGATGGATACTTAACCCAGGTACACTCCCCAGCGTTATGCAACCCTTATAGTTTTTTTCGTTACGGGTTCTTCGTCCAGCTAGAAAGACTAATATCGTCGAAGAATACGTTTTGCCAGCGTGCGGGCGCGCTTGCAGGCTAAGCGCGCATCTCGTTCTCTTCATCGTCATTCTCAGTTAATGGGCGAGCAGCCCATTGATCATCAAAACATGATCAGGCATCATAAAATATTTTTCGATTTTCTATCTACCCACGAAGTCTTAATAAAATTGGGGTTTGCTCCCTCGTAAGTGGCCAGTGGTAACTACAGGATAACAAAGCCAGAGATAAGTAAACAATTTTCTGTTCTTCGTTTGTTCAATGATACGTGCAACGCGATTCATGAAATGATATTATTAATTTAAAGAACAATTAAAGTGACGCTTATGTCTGGTAATGACTGACGGCTCAGGTGCGGCTTTGATCTACAAATTTCGATTGTTCCCTTTGCGAAGCCGATGTTTCATATCCCTCGAGTAAGCCCGAGAATGTTTTGTATATACCTAACACTTCGAGTATGCGAATCATTGCGTAATTGTGTGTACCGAACCACGCAGTTTATAGCGTAACAAAACAATTTATTTATTATATAAATCCTGCGAAAAGGGACGATCTTTTTCAATCGTCGCTACCCGACGATCGTCGAATCACCCGTTTTTCTCTTCTTTTAATCTTCTTCGTCGCCTTTATGTGTTGTCGGAAGACGAGTTGCATTGGTTTCCGTGACAAAGACTGAACAAATTGTACAATAACTCTCGATAGCTTGGATGCCTTGCGTCGTGCGATGACGATGATCTCGACGAGACCAAAAACATTGGTTGCAACACTGATGGGCAAAATTTCTTTCGCATATCGGATAAGAAACGAAACCAAAGTAATTTAAGAATTGTGTTAGTTTATGGTTGCGTTAAGTGAAATTATATACCTTGCGGGCGAATGAAACGTTTTATTTTATGTTTCTTGTGAAATATTTTATTGTGTAATTCATATATATATATATATATATATATATATAATTATTCATATATGTATATATAATTTGTTATTTGGGATTTTTTTTTGCGTAAGAATTTTGCTCATCTATAATTGCACACGAGCGCCAAACATTGAAAGCGTCGTTAAACCAATCGCCTCGTCTCGGTTGAACCGTCGATTCGAAGAGTAAGTGCTGTCCACGATTATCAGTTCCAATGGATCGCGACCCAAGGTGCAAACGGGCATTAACATTTCCGTTGTATATATCCACGGAGAGAGCATAACCCATGACGAATCTCGCTATTTAGCTAAAAGCTGCACGAAACCAGCGACCGTGCTTCGTTTTCCGGGCATTAAAGTATTCTAAGAGGAAAGAAAGATCAGTCATATGTTAACAAGTATATTAGTAATAAATTGCACCAGATATGGTAGCAAAATATGAAGGTAAAAACCATGCTGTGTAAGTCATCATTTTCTCATTTTGAAAAATTGTTCCAACGAAATTACAGATACCATCTATACACACAGGTCGGTATTTGAAAAAACTCGACGTACATTATTATGGTCTTTACCTCCAAATATGTATAATTTGTATCATATCAATTGTACCAAAATATGGTAACACGAATATGAAGAATGTAGAGAGTGTAAGTAAGCTTTGCTTAGAAGAAACGTCAACCAAATGTATCAGATTCCCTGGTTTTGGGATAGAGGGAGACACTCAGTCAATAATGTAGTAATACTCACTAGGAAGGACTCGGTAGGGTAGGACATTCCACAGATACCGATAGTATCTCGTAGACACTATCGAGTCTTACCTGCAGAGTAGTCTACGCTGTCGACTGGATAGACCTTCCATTGTCACAGAACATAAATAATATAGGACGAGGTTTGAACATAGTATAGAACTCTTTCTCTCGAGACTGATCTTTCTTTCTCGAATTTAAACACGGTCGCGATATACCAAGCACGACCAACACTTTCCCTTTCGGTGATTCAGAGATCACACGTCTCCCGTGTTCACTATTCATGTCTGATACGAATGTGAAGTACCTTGACAAGGAAGAACAAAATTTCGAACACTATGTATGTATATGTACCCGCCAGCAGCTAAATAATCTAGCGAAGCGTTTGCCTCCGTACGAGCTAATCTCCGATAATTTTCCAGCAACAGGGACTCTGCGTTGCCCCTGTTCGGAAACTATTTATGATAAATAAGAGATATTTTCGTGTTGTAAATCGATTCCATTAGATCTCGTTCGTTTCCCACATCGCCGGCAATAGACGACGATCGACCGAATCGAAAGATCGCAATCGCGCCTATTTATCCTCAGAGCTGCTTCGATGAAGTAAAGCGCTGTTACGCTAACTCATGTTCGCTAGTCCCCCGTTGATGTTGTCGCGATGACAACGCTACGCATAGTACAATGTCCCGCGGTAATTTTTGTAAGCGAATCTTTTTTCCAACGAACCGACGCGATGTAAATTGTCTACACACGACACACACACAATACACACACACACATACACACAGACAGATAGATACAGACACATCCCTCGAGCGCTCCCCTCTTCTTCACTGGCTCTCGGTCTTTAAATAAAATGGAAAAAAATACACAGGGAATATACATACGTACGTACGTACATACATACATACATACGACAAGTGTCTGCTTTAGATTTCGTAAATGTCGACCCAACTTAACTGCCAGCTGAGTGTAACGAAAGATCCACTTGCGTGCACCGGCCACGTGGTATCCGTTACCGCGCGCCGGTGCTTATAAATCATTCATGCAATAACTGTGTGCCCGAATCGAATAAATGAAAAAGAAAAACGAACAGCAAAAGAATTCCTATTAATAATTGCCTCGTTCTTCCTGTCACTTTACTGTTGTTTAAGCTATATAGATTTTGGTGAGAATTAACAGCGCCTATAAGATGGCAACCGAACCGACAAATCGGCTAGCACAGGTTGCCGCATGAAAGGGGCACCGCTGCGCCTATATAGGCGGCAACCGAAACGACAAACCGGCTAGCAGAGGTTGCCGCATGATAGGCGGTACATGTTCCTTTAATTTCCCTCCATTTCCTGGTGTATTTCCCATTAATTTATTTCCCTCGATTTCCTTACATATTTCCCTCTAATATTCCTCTATTTCCTGGTATATTTCTTTTTACTTCCTGGTACATTTCTCTGTAATTTCCCGTCACTTCTGTGATATTTCTTTATAATTTCGCCTCATATCTGTGATATTTCTTGGTTTAACAATGTTGCAAATGGCTCCGCTCCAAAGTACAACAATGTTGCAAA